AGCAGCACGCCGTGTGCGCCCGCACTGGACTCTGAACGGGCCGGAGCTCCAGTCGTCCGCCTGCCTCCTCTCTTCCGCCGGCGGAAGGACCGCCGGGTTTGGCACGTGGGGCCCGGGTGCGAGTTCGAGACCCTGCGCGGGGCCGTAGGGGTGGCGGGGCCGTACGACCGCGTGGTTCTACACCCGGGCGTGTATGAGGAGCAGGCGGAGGTGGTGCTGAAGGTGCCCGTGGAGCTGGTCGGGCTGGGTCGGCTGGGCGAGGTGGCTCTCCTGGTGTGTCTGGAGCAGCAGTGCCCCACAGCACGGCTGTGTAACCTGGTCTTCATGCCCCCCTGGTTCTCCACCGTGGTCTACAAGGTGAAGCAGCAGCTCGCCGTTGCATATTTCAATAAAGCTTCTTCTCAAATAAAAGGTTCCGCTCACCTCGCCTGCCTGTTCATGCCGAATATGTCTCCCTCCCATCGTCCTTTCTCTCCCCTGCTCCGCTCTAGACGTCGTGGGGTCACGTCCAACTCGATAACTGCAACTTTGAAGGTGTCCAGCTGCAGATCCGCGGCCCGGGAACCTGCCAGGCGCGCTTCTGCTCCTTCTCCCAGGGCAGCTCGGCGCACCTGCTGGGGGTCGTCCTCAGCCTGTTGGACAGCTGCGACTTCTCGGGAAGCGACGCGGCCTCCGTCACCGTCGAGGGTCCTCCGGTGTACGAGAAGAACTGGGCTTGCAAACACCTGGCGGCTCTGGTCAGGACGTTCCCGTCGTGCGGCCCGCCCGGAGACGGCAGCCGTCCCGGGAGCCCTCTGACGCCCACCGCTGATGTGAAAAAGGAGCGCGCGAGCACCGAAGACTGGCATAGGAGGGTCGGGGTGGAGGCGGAGTGTCAAGGCACGGTGATCGACGGCGACTGGAGCGACGGCGACCGCAGCGAGGGAGAGGAGGAGCACCGGGGCGCCGGCGGAACCAACGGCGGCAAGGACCCGCTTGTGTCGGATTACAAAGTCCCATGTGACCAACACGGCCTCTCCCATTTGCTCCAACTCCAAGCCGACGGCTCGCTGCCGCTGGCCTCCTCCCCGGACCCGCCGTCTGTGAGCCCCGTGCCCCTCACCTTTCAGCAGGAACTAGACCGGGACCCGGAGGCCCAGGCGTTGGCGACCTCCACCCTCGGCTGCATCCTCCGGCGCTGCCTCTTCCGGGAGGGGAAGGGCGGCGTGCATTTGTCTAATTTCGCCCAAGCGCGGCTGGAGGGCAACGTCTTCCGTGGGCTGAACTACGCCGTCCGCTGCATCCAGAACTCCACAGTAAATACCAACGTTCTTCGGGCTTCTGGAGTCTTCCAGAGTCTCACTCGGACTTTGATAAGATGCACGCGTGTTCAGGAAGTAGCTCAGTCTGTGAGTAGTTGAGCAGCGGTTGCAGCAGTTCTGAGTGATGCTTTAGCTCCTCTCTTGCCTCCTTCAGCTGGTGATGCTGAGGAACGAGGTGTGCGAGTGCCGGGCGTCGGGCGTGTTCCTGCGCCTCTCCGCCGAGGGCCTCATCGCGCAAAATAACATCCACTCGAACGCGGAGGCGGGACTGGACATCCGAAAAGGGGCCAATCCCATCATTTTGGTAATTGCCGCCACACTTGGAACCAACAAAGAGGTCCACTAACTTTTCCCACAGCGTTCAACGGCTCGTATTTCGTCTCATACGTCAAACTAACACCACATTAAACTTGGTTTGAAAGATTTGGCGATTCTTTTGAGGTCATTCATGCATCGTCACCCTGCCTTTTATTCCCGCAGTGCAACAAAATACATAGCGGCTTGCGTTCCGGCGTTGTTGTCCTTGGCAACGGGAAAGGTTCCATTCGGAGCAACCAGATCTACAACAACAAGGAAGCGGGCGTGTATATTCTCTTCAGCGGGAATCCTGTGGTCAGGTAGGTGGGGGCTCAACATCTACATTGCACAGGAATGTCAATCCCCCCCCTTATCACTCAGATGTTACTTCCCTCCCGCTTCCTTCAAACGTTAAACCGGCCTTTATCGTTTCACTCAAAATGTCGGGAGCTTGGTGCCTGCCGCAGTGCAACAATCTGTTGCTGCCCTTTATGTAGCATGTAGTGGTAAAATCTGACTTTTACTGCTCCATAATGTGTCGCTTTCTACCCCCCCTCCCTCGGTACTAGTGGGAACCACATCTTCCGGGGGCAGGCGGCGGGCATCGCAATCAACGAGAATGGAAGAGGGACGATCACAGGTGATAAAGTTTCTTCATTTTGTGCAGCTCACAGAAGAGATTAGCAAGAGATTACCCCCCCCCCCCCCCCCCCCCCAACCAAAGTTTTATCCCTTTCTCTTCCGTTTCATTGGGGGAGATTGTTGTTAAAAGAAAACACCTGGGGGGGGGGTTGACACTCCCGCCAGGGCGCGACCCCGCCTTTAAGAAAAAACACACTCTTTTTCCCGCCACTCCCACCCCCGGGGGGTGGCCCAAAGAGAGCCGCGCGATCTCTCTAGAGGAAACACCGCGCCACCTGGGGGGGGCCGCGGAAATATGTGCGGGGGAGTTGGGCTCTGCGCGCGCGGGGGGGTTTTTATTTTTCTCTCTCGCGCGCTTTTCTCTAGAGAAAAAAAGAAGCGGCGGGTGGGGGGAGTATGTCGAAGCCCCCCCCCC